TCGAGGAAGAAGCTGTCGTCGAGGAAGAGGCTGCCGTCGAGGAAGCCGCTGTCGAGGAAGCCGCTGTCGAGGAAGCTGCCGTCGAGGAAGCTGCCGTCGAGGAAGCTGCCGTCGAGGAAGCTGCCGTCGAGGAAGCCGCCGTCGTAGAAGAAGCTGCCGTCGAGGAAGAAGTTGTCGTCGAAGAGGCTGCCGTCGAAGAGGCTGTCTTCGTGGAAGAAGCCACTACCGAGGAGGCTGTCGTCGAAGAAGCCGCTGTCGAGGAGGCTGTCGTTGTCGAAGCGACTACCTCGTCCGAAGAGGAAGGCGTCATCGTTGAAGAGGCTGGCTCTTCGGAGGAAGAGGGTGTCGTCGTCGAAGAAGTTGCCGCTGAGGAGACTGCGGTTGAGGAAGAAGCCGTTGTCGCCACCGAAGAGCCCATTGTCGAAGCCGCCGTTGAAGATGAAGCGCCGGTCGCTGGCGAAGAGCCCGTGCTCGTGGACGAGCCCGTATCGGAGGAACCCATCGTTGTCGATCAACCGATCACTGAGGAACCCGTCGTCGTCGTCGCCGAAGTCGAGGCCCAAGTTGTGGAGGCTGAGGCCTCTGCTGTTGACGCCGTCGTCGAGGTCGCTGCCCCGGTCGTCGAGGTCGCTGCCCCGGTCGTCGAGGTCGCTGCCCCGGTCGTCGAGGTCGCTGCCCCGGTCGTCGAGGTCGCTGCCCCGGCTGTCGAGGTCGCTGCCCCCGTGGTTGTCGAGCAGGCTCCGGTTGCTGCGCCTGTCGAGGCCATCCAGGCTGAAACGAAGACGGTTGTTGCCGAAGTCACCAAGTCGGACGATATCGCTGTCGCTGCGGCCGCTGCCGTTGGTGTCGCCGCCATTGCTGGTATTGCCGTTGTGGCTGCTGCCACCGAGGCGCCCAAGACTGTCGAAGTCGCTAAGCCCACGGAGGTCAAGGCGGAGACCGCCAAGCCTACGGAGGCCAAGGTCGAAGCCAAGGTCGAAGCCAAGGTCGAAGCCAAGGTCGAGGCCAAGGTCGAGGCCGTCAAGGAGGCTGTCCAGGTCGAAGCCAAGGCTCGCGGTATTGAAGTCAAGTCGCGCGGCATTGAGGCCAAGCCCCGTGGCGTCGTCGCCGGCTACGACAACGCGCCGACGCGCTCGATCAACGGCCCGACGCCGTCCTTGAACAAGGCCGCCGAGAAGAGCGCCGCGTGCAGCTGCTCCATCATGTAGACTCCCCCAGGTTCATTTTTATTCGGTTTATAAACGCATTTCACTTGAGTACCGCTGGTGCCGCACCGCCTAACGAGTCGCTTCCGAACGAGAAGCGAGCGACCCATATTTATGCATAGGGTGCTGCAAGGAAGAGGCTGCAGAATGGCCAAGCTCACTGCATGGTGATCGATGTACCGTGGTGTATTATGCATTTGGAGCCTGCCTGTACAATCGGCCATTATCTGGTCGGCTGTAATCTGATATACTGCATTTCTATTCGCTGTGTTTTTGAATATTAAGCCAATCACGATAGCCATTCCGCCCAATTTCAGCCAATCCAGATCGCAGCATCGCTGATCGACCAAACACCAGTCATCATCATTTCCAAGCATGGCCAACTTGTTCCAAGCGATCTGCAGCAAGCGCAACTTTGGCGTCGGCCAGAAGGTCACCCGCGGGATCTGGAAGCGCTTCGAGGTAGAGACGCCCTCCGAGCATGCATGTGCAGGAGGCTCATGCATCGTGTAGACGGCGGAAGCCTCGTCCTACGTCGAGATCACGCGCGTTGCGCCGTCGCAGGACCTCAAGCACGGCAAGGCCTACGGCATCAAGGTCTTTCGCGGCGTCAGCGAAGGGTACGTACGAGGGCCTTACTTGCCTCTCGCTCACGGTAGAGTTGTGTATAGCAAGGAGCGTCGTGTCGATGGCGTCCTGAAGCGCGACTGGGCGGTCGTCGCATAAGGAGGGTAGAACTTATTAGATTCGCCGCCGGCGCACACGCATAAATAACCGCTAGATAATATGCACCGTGCTGCTTGGAGGACACGCCCCGCGTTGCATGCGTCCCGCACGGCCACAGCGTCTGCCATGTCTTCCAGACTCACGCTCACAGGGTCCAGGACGAATAGCGAGCGCAGATACGTTGCCCAAGAGGACACCACTACCGTTGCATGGACGCAGACCGCGGATCCTACGTGGGTGGGTCTTTAGCTGCGCGACGATCCACGTGCTGTTGGTCACCTCGGATGCTACTGACACTCTGGCAAGCCTGCTACCATCTAGTTGAGCGACGATGATCCTGGGCCCTTTGATCAACGGTCCAAAGCTTGATTGAGGGAGTCGTCGGAGAAGCCAACAAGCTTTCGAAGTCTCATATTTTGTGCTGACGCTCCCATCGATGACGTGGCAGTTCGTAGGACGACCTCGTCGTGCTCCACAAGCCACTTCGAGCGTTCTGTCCAAAAAGTATGTTGCATCTAAATCCACTCACTTTTTCTATAGAGAAGCCGCCGAACAGCGCCGACTTAGCACACAAATCCGGGTGTTTTTATCCTTGCCCATCGTCCAGACCTCATTGGCTGCTTTCTCGTCCTTCCCAGTCAGTCCTCGTCGGCGGATTCCATATTTTCGCACCGCCGGTATGCTTCATGCGGTACGCCCTCCGACCACGCGGCCCAGCCGACGACGACGATGTTGCGTAGGTCGAGCCGGTCGCGCCGCCCAAGTGGCATGAGGAGCTCCGGTCTGCGCTCAAGATGCCCGAGCTCCTTGAGCAGCTCACGTGCGACAAGTTTGGCATCACGCGCAGCGCGTCGTTGACGCAGTTTGGCTACATTGACCTTGGCACTGCGTACGCCTTGGCGACGAAAGTCTGCGTGATGGAGCGTGATGCGTAGGACGACGTCCGCCAAGTCGATCGTGCGTGGTTGCGACGTGGTGGAGTACCTCACGCTCTGCAACACGGGCGAGTTTCCGATTTCGCTTGCGTCCGCCCGGGTTCTGGACCACGCCGACATCTTCAACGTTGCGCTTTCAACGCCCATCTCGCTCTCGGGCGCGCCGCTTCGGCTGCGGGTACACGCCTAACGTGTGGCTAGTATCGACGACTCGTATGTAGATTGGCTTGCACCACAACAACGAGCGCAAGCTCCCGACGTCGGCGCCGATCGAGACGTACCTCGTGCTCATCTTTCAGTTCCCGGGCGTCGGCAACCTCGTGCAATTCACGACCCACTCGTTTGTCCTGCTCCACCCGCTGCGGCTTGTGCCGGCGCGGGTCGGCGACGTCGAGTCGTCCCTGGACGCCGAAGCCAGCGCCTTTGTGCCGCTTGGGTGGCGCCAGGCGTTCAGTTCGTCTCCTGCCGTCGTTGCGTCGCTGCCCGAGACGGCGTGGCCGTTGACGTCAGCGCTCTCGAAGCTCGTGAAGTCCATTGAGCTCGACTACGCTGCTACGCCGTCCGTGCCGGCGATGGTGCTCCGCACCGTCGAGATGATGCAACCTGCCATGTTGCAGCAGCTGGATCCGTACGTGTTCAAGCAGCATACTTGCATCCAACTCGAAGAGATGCAAATGCACCACGACGCCACCGTCTACGATCTCCATGTTTGCGCCGCTGCTGTCCCAAGCTCGTTCTCATTGCTGTTTAGGACGTTCGGCTCCGCGTACCCAAGGCGCACCGCCACCACCGCAGTGACGCGATGGTTGTCACCCTCGACGTGCCTGGCATCCGCGAAGCCAGACCTCTCGTCGGACTTCGTGACGTAGTGCGGCTGCGACCCCACCACGCTGGCTTCGCCCACCTAGAGATCGTCGGCGTCGTCGCGGAGCTGCGCACCTCGATCGTGACGCTCGTCGTGCCAACGATTAGCAGCGGTACGTCTCTGTTTGGGCCATCTCGCTCACTCACGGCGACGCATAGATGGGGCGCACTTGGACCTCGTGTACCAGCTGAGCCCCTTCCACGGTCCAATTATTTCTTAGTCTTATTGTTCGTGTCTGATGTCGCAACTAGTGCGCTTCATGTACCAGCGCTTGGGGTTCCAGATGGTCTACTACGCTCTGGGTAAACTCTCGACCGAGGCGTTTGCGCTGCTGCACCCGTCGTCGCCACAGTCGCTCGACCACGCGGCCAATCCCAAGCTCGAGATGCACAACCCGACGCTCAACGAGCACCAAACGAGCGCCGTCACCCGCATCGTCGCGCGCGCAAGTGGTGCCGCGCCCTACATCATCTTTGGTCCACCAGGCACGGGCAAGACGGTCACGGTCATTGAGACGATCTTGCAACTGCTGGCGACGTCCCCCAGCGCGCGGGTGCTGGCCGTTGCGCCCTCGGACGCCGCCGCAGACGTTCTCGCCACGCGCCTGCGCCTGCACTTGGGCGCAAAAGCCCTCTTCCGACTCAACTGGCATTTCCGCAGCGTACGCAAACTGACGTGCTCCATGATTTGTGACGACTGCGGTAGATGGCGTCAGTGCCGGCCGAGCTCTTGGGCGTCTGCTTTACAGAGGGCGGCGACATTTTCTCGCTGCCGCCGCTTACGACGCTCGCAGCGTTCCGCGTCGTGGTGACGACAACCTGTGCTTCGGGCGTGCTCTCGATCGCGGGGCTGGCACCAGGTCACTTTCGCGACATCATCATTGACGAAGCGTGCCAGGCCACCGAAGCCGAGGTGCGGCGGCCATCCTAGCAAATGTTGAGGTATCTGCGACGTAGACACTGGTGCCGCTGCTCCTGTACGCGCCCGGTGTCCACGTCACTCTTGTCGGCGACCCGCGGCAGTTGGGGCCGCAACCGAGGTCACCGGCGGCGATTTCGAGTGGCTTTGCCACGTCCTGGCTCGTACGTCCACCGCTCGTTTTGCTTGCATTTTGACGAGAGATAGGAGCGGCTCGTGAACGACCCGACCAACGTCTACAACTGGAACGCGCAGAGAGGCAAGTTCATTACGATGCTGCAGCACAACTACAGATCCCACCCGGCGCTCCTGGAGCTGCCGTCGCGCCTCTTTTACCGCGGCGCACTCGTCGCCTCGGGCAACATTGCCAAAACGCATGCGCTCACCCAGTCGCACAATGCACACTCTGCGACAAGCTAACGGGGCCGCGTAGGTGGGACGGGCTCGGCGGTCGCGGCCACTTTCCGATGGTGTGGCACTCGGTGCATGGAACGCAGCACAAGGAGCTCGACGCGCACTCGTACACCAACCTGGACGAAGCCTTCAAGGTACAAACGGCCGTGCCGCGTACGCTGAGCGAAGTCTAGATTGTCCAACTCGTCGAATCGCTCGTCACGTCGACGTCGGTGTCGGTGACGACGGCCGACATTGCAGTCGTGACGCCGTTTCGCCGGCAGGTCGTCAAGATCCGTCACATGCTCCGCAACCGCGACTTCGGCGGCGTGAACGTCGGCACGGTGTACAACCTCCAGGGCCAAGAGGCCAAGATCGTGCTCGTGTCGCTCGTGCGCACGCCGAGCCGTCGGAACGCGACCAGAATCCCGATCCTGAGCGACGCCAAGCTCTTCAACGTGGCTGTGACACGGGCCAAGGCGCTGCTGCTCATCGTCGGTCACCCAGGTCTCCTCTCGCAACAACCGTTCTGGGGTGAATTGCTGGACCATTGCGTCAAGCAAGGCGGCTTCCGCGCCTCGCCCGTCGGCGACGAAGTCGGCCATCAGTCCGACCGCGAAGACGACGTTGTCGAGCACTACGACGATGGCAAAGCATGCAACGCAGCGGTCGATGGGCCCGACTGGCGCGTCTTTCTCTAGTTGGTGCCAACCGTGTCCTTTCGTACGATTTTTCTCGCTTTTTTCGTATGAATTCGATAATCACATTGCGTTGGCGCTGGCGGTAATGGCCAGGGCGGACTGGAGAAATCTTTTCAAAAGACGGTCCTCAGAGTTTGCTAGCACCTGCTGCTGACTAGCAAGTCCATTCTACAAAACCCGTACACGGCCGCTGGGGATTCGGGACCTCAGACAGCTACAACGCCGTCGCCGGCAATGCGGTGCGCTATGGAGTCATTTTCGCACCGCACTAAGCTTACGGTGTGCTTACAACTGTATAGTTACTCAACAGTACTAGACCTCTAGCTCATAGATCGAGTACTGTAGTTTGCGCAGTACTTGTGCGTGCACGAAGTGAACATGCAGCGTTGCCACGTCGCTTGAGAAAATCAAAAGCCGGAGCCGTTTGGACCAATCCGATCTTAGCTCGTGTATGATTGGTTGGTCGAAATCGAATGCACCAATCAAAAGCTCGCTTGTATATCTTTTGGGGGCATCACACCCACTGCGCTCTTCAAACGAGTGGAGAGACACACTGGGGTATGCGTGAGTACACACATGTGGCAGGAGATTGATCTCATGACGCAAGAGCGGCCCGTCCGCAATCAGTGGTGCTAGACGCATCGCCAGCTTCATTTTCCAATCGGCAACGACCTCATGCTGCAGACGCTCGCTGCTTTGACGCTCGTCGCGTCTGCGACGGCCATCGACTACCTTGGCGGCTTCATCGAGCCCGCGCACAAGCAGTGCGTCGACATTTGCAAGAATTCGAACCCGAAGCCGGGGTGTTTCAATCCCGCCGACGACTGCCACACCAAGCTCCAGCGCCCCGGCGACTACGACTATATGGTTTTCGACCAGATCTACGGGCCGCAGTTCTGTCGCGACCTCGACAACGGCGTCGACTCGATGATCACGCACCAAAACGTCGCCAAGGGCGGTCTTGCGTGTGCCAAGCCCGTCAAGTCGGAACTCTTCATCCACGGCCTCTGGCCCAACTACAACGCCGGCTACCCCGGGTGCTGCAACGTCACAGACTCGATTCCGAATCAGCCGTTTGACGCAACCACGTTTGCGACCAAGTTCCCGACTCTGTTCAAGGACATGACCGAGCAGTGGACCGACCCCGCGGTGGGCAACGCCACGGAGCGTCTCTGCCAGGGCTACAACCACGAGTTCCAGAAGCACGGCATCTGCTTTGGCGCGTTCGGCGCCGACTACGACCGCGCGGCGGCCCAGTACTTTCGCGCTGTCTTGGACGTCAACGTGCGTCTGACGGACGCGACGCAGCAGGTGGCGTCTTGGGCAGCGTCGACGGCGACCAACGTGACGCTCGACGATGTCCAGAAGCTCTACACCAAGAAGATCAACGTCCTCTGCTCTACCGTCAGTGGCGAGTCGACCAACCGCATTGTCGCCGTCCGCACGTGCTGGTCCAAGGCTGTGCCCAAGGACAGCTGCGGCGATGCCGAACTCGTTGCTGGTGCGCCGCAGGACTGCTCCGGCGCGCTCTCCACCACGTGCAACGCAGCGTTGCCGCTCGATTTCTCGGCCTACTCAGTCTACTAACACCCAACGCGTCATAATGAATGCAGTTGGTTGCGTTATCTCTGCCGACTACCGCGACATCGCACCAAAAGGTAGATAGAATGTCGGTCGTGGCATGGCTCTAGCAGGGCGTCGAGGATGTCGACCCGTAGTAAGGTGCGTTGAACTGAGAACGCGCTTGCGTCGTCCGCCTACGATGCCGTACAGCAACCAGCGATCCAGTGCAGAGCCTACCGCACGTAAAAGCGCACGAGCAAAAGAATGACGGCGAGCGACACGAGCACGCAGAGACCCAGCGTGGCCTGGAAGGGTGCGTCTCGACCACGAATCGTGCCAGGATGCTGCGTACCATGGCTTGGATGGCGGAAATGGCTGCAAACTCGTCGCTGTTGGCGACGACCAGCGTCTTTTCACCCGCGGATTTCATCTCGAGCCTGCGCACAACGTCTGTAAAAGCCGCCGTAGCAATGCAATGACGTACCACACGAATGCCCATGCGCCCACCGATGCAAAGACCAAGTCGCCTTGCCACAGCAGCGCAACCACGTTGGCCATGAGCAGCGTGCTAAAGCAGCTGATGTAAATGTACATGTCGAGCGGGACGCCGACGGTCGCCAGCGCCACCGTAAGGCTCGCGATTGTCGTCGCGCCGAGCCAGCTACGACGAGTGTCAACTTGATACATTGCGATTCGAAGCTGCACCTTGCGTACAGCGTGAAGGGCACACGCATCCAGAGATAGTCAGAGACGCGGCGGCACGGGTACCCCACGTCCTTGTGAATCGACAAGGTTGCGAACACATGGGGCGGCTCGACGTTCTCGAGCACGAGCACGTAGGCGGCAAACATACTCAGCCAGAGCGCCGACATGGCACCAAAGGCGACGACCATACAGTCGGCGCTCGCCGCTTCAAAGCAAACGGTTTGGAGCACGAGCCCGAGACTCGTGAGTGTATAGAGAATTTCGAGCTGCGGAAGGGGCAAGTCGGCGCACGGCACGATGCACTCGCGCCCGATAAAGCCAAAGAGGAAAAAGACCACGACCCAGTAGAGCTGGTCGGCTTCGCGGGGGAGGACCATGACGGTGGGATGGCGCTGACGGACGTCGTCGAGCGCGAGTGCGTTCGCAGCGTTGCGCCAGAGACAAATGACAAACGACAGCGCCATGGCGAGGCGCAGCAGCAGCATGCGCCGTGAGTGCAGACCCCGTAGCTGCGACGTGATCCGCATCCGACCGTTTGGCTCCGAGATTTGTCAGTATTTAATGCTTTGGTTTGTATGAGCATACAATAATCAAGACAAACGATCTTGGCGCCGCGGACGCGCACGTTGTTCGAAACGAAGCTTTGACACGAAAGTGCGCTGGGAACAACAAGCGCTCATTGTTCGAGAAGCCACGACCCAGAACATGAAGTTGCCGTGGATCCTCAGCGCCTTCTTGGCGGTCGCAGCGGTACCGCTTTCACCCGCTCGCCGCGTAGGCTCATCCGACGCGTAGGCCGCGTCGTGCCCGGTAGGCAACGTCTACGACGCGACGGCCGAGCAATGTGTGCCCTGCGCGTTTGGCTCGTGGGCTGACGGCGACATGACCCAGTGCCAAGTGCGTACTCTGGGAGAAACGACCACCGACTCATGTGACCGTAGTACCCCGTGACATGCCTCGCGGGCCTCGAACCTAACGCGCACGCGCGCAACGCGTCCGACTGCCTGCCCTGCGTGGCTGGTTGGTACAATGCTGGTACGCTATCGCGTGCACAGCTGGTGTACACTCACCCTGCGTAGCCAACGACGTCTCGTTGTGCAAGCGCATGACGTGTGCCCCGGGTACCGCGAGCACGGTCGTCGGAGCCAAAGACGCAACTGCTTCATGTACGTACACGACTTGGACTGCATGAAGCTAGATGGCAACGATATATTTGTAGGCAAGGCGTGCCCTGTGCTGACGTACTCGATGGGCGCGGACGCCCCCTGCGTGGCATGCCCACCTTTTCACTACGCGCCAGGCCAAAGCAGCCATTGCGATCTTGTGCAGTGTGCACCGGGGTACGATTTCTGGTTGATGTTGGCATGCTAAGCAAGCAAACGCATCTAGATCGCGCCCGGCGGGTAATTTGACATCATCCAGCGACTGCGTTCCTTGTCCGTCTGGAACGTACAGCTTTGGGGGTCTCGACACGGGTTCGCACCGGCCACAAAATCGCAGCTCATCATGGCCGCTTCCATAGAGTGTCATCCTGTCCAATGCCTTGGAGGCACCGAGCCCCGCGCAAGTACGTACACCGTCGACACTGACATTGGCTAATGGTACTGCGGTGTAGACGCCAAGAATGCCACCGACTGCTTGCCTTGCAAGCTCGGGTGGTTCTCGCCCGGAGGTCCGACCTAACATAAAGGAGCATGGCACTGAATGCGACTAGGCGACGTCATGTGTGCGCCGGCGACGTGCCCCAGCGGAACGGTCGCCAAGCACGGCGCCACTACGGCCTCCGACCACTGCGTGGCTTGCCCTTCTGGGTGCGTCCGACCATGCAACTAGTAAATCGTCGTACTGAGAGACTGTACTAGACACGTGTCGGCTGGGAAAGACGCGGCCAAGTGCACGCCGTGTCGCGCCGGCACCTATGCGAAGAGTGACATTTGCGCCCCCGCTGAGTGTTCTCCCGGAAGCTACGCCCCCGACTTGGCCAAGGATGTTGCCCGTACGAAGTGCTTGTCCCTACGCACGAGAGGCCAAGCACTGCGTAGATTGCTTGGACTGTGCGTTCGGCACGTTCTCGAACGGGAAAACGGACGCCTGCCACCCGTTCACGTGCCCCGGCGGTACTGCGTCGTCCACACCAGAGGAGAAAGAGGCACCTTGACGTAGGCAACGAGCCAAACACGAAAGCAAGCTTCGACGGCGACTGCGTTGGCTGCCGCCTCGGTATGACGCGGCATTTTGCGTGCAAAATATGATTGTGGCCTAGGGTTCTTCTCCGCGCCCAACACGTCGATTTCGTGTGAGCCCGCGCAGTGCCCGAAGAGCACCCAAGCCTCGTGCGATTTTCGACTGGGTACAGCACTTGACTAACGGGCAACCGTAGGCCCAACGCAACGTCGGCGGACGACTGCGGTCCGTGCCCGGCATTGCAGACTTCCATTGGCGGCTCGGCGCTTTGCGGAGCGCCCAACTGCACGGCAGGCTCTGGACCAACGCAGGATGGACAGTCGTGTGCAGTATGCGAGATTGGCACGTTCAGTCCAGGCCACGGTACGAGCCGAACGAACGTACTTTGCATTCACAATTGCATAGGTGCTCCTTGCCGCAAGGTGAAGTGCGCCCCGGGTCACACACCAGCCAAGGTAGCCGTCCCAAGAGGGCTTCTAACGCTTACATCAAGCACGCAGGGCGCGACCGATATGGCGACCGACTGTGTTCCGTGCCCTGAAGGCACGACCAATTTGGGTGCGCATTGCTTCGTTGGGTTTGAGCTCATCAGAGGTAGGGGGGACCATGACGGAGTGCACTCCGTGTCCGCGAGGGACGTACTCGAACGCAACAGCGGGTGCGCTGCATCGGTCGTCTACAGCGATATCGATATTCGGCGGCATAGGAACAAACACGTGCACACCAACTGCGTGCGAGCTCGGATGGGAGGCCAAGGTACACTCACCGATGTGCTCATCTGGACGTGGTAGCATGCCTCTATAGACTGGCGCCAAGCACAAGCGCGACTGCGTCATTTGCGGCCAAGGCTTCTTTAGCAACACGCAAACTTGCCAGCCGACGCAGTGCCCACTCAACCAAGCTAGCGCCAAGGTAGCTACTGCTGCAGCATCGCCACTTCGCCTGACGTCGTCCAGGGAGCCTACGACGCGATCGGCAACTGCACGGCTTGTCCGTTGGGTTGGATAGCTTCCATCACCAGCCGCGTGCTCAGCAATCTTGTGTAGGATACTTGTCCGAGGGTGGGCAGGATCCATGCCATCCTGCCGAGTGCGCCCCGGGGTACTCGCTGCCACCCAACACCACGCAGTGCCAAGCATGCCAGCCGGGCACATTTGGGAAAGGGCTGGCAATGCCGTGCGTGGCAATGACCTGTGCCCCGGGCACCGCGTCGAGCGCATTCGGGGTCTTCCACGACCTTGATTCGTGCCTTCCGTGCGCCAACGGTACGTGGAAGTACCCTCACGCCTCCGTCTTCTACTTGTTATAGGCACGTACTCGACAGGGAACGATGCTCAGTGCTTTCCGATTCTGTGTGCCCCGGGCACGACTGGTATCCCACAGCGCCGTCGAAGTCGACGTAAACCTATGTCGTAGGTAACTCGGGCGCCAAAGGACCTCAAGACTGCGTCGAGTGCCTTGCAGGATATACGTCCCTCGGAAACGACACAAGGTACACTGTGAGCGTCAGTCGAAAAGACGCAACCGTCTACTGCGTAGCTGCACGGCGTGTCCGTCGGGCACGTATGCCACGTCTGGAGCGAACAAGTGTCTGCCGACGACGTGCGACATTGGCTGGGAGCCCAATGCCAAGGCCACAAGTGCGACCGACTGCCGCCCGTGCAACGTCGGCATGACGTCGAAAGGCGGGGGCGCCCACTGCCGCCCCGTACGCTCCAGTTGTCGACTTGGTTTAGACTGAGCCTTGTCGCAGGTGGCGTGCCCGAAAGGAGCTTTTGCAACTGAGAGCTCGGGCGACTGCGAGCCGTGTCCGCTGGGCACCTACTCGGTACTGCCATTCCTATTGTTTGAGTTTGATGCGAAGCGAAGTAGAACGGCGACTCGATTTGCCGCCCCACGCAGTGCCCCCCGGGGCGCGGGGCTGTTCGAAACGCCAGTGACGCCGTCGCCGGTACGACACGGGAGCGATACGAGCTCCAGAGCCATCGATGCCGTTGTAGATTGCGAGGAGTGTCCTATCGGCACGTTTAGCATTGGCGACGACCATGCGTGTACCCCGACGTCGTGCGCTGTCGGGTCCGAGTCGGCGGTCACGGGGTCGGAGCTCGAGAAGGGGCATTGCAAGCCTTGTGCCGAGGGTTACTACAGCGCCGGCAACGGCGATCAGTGCAAGCAAGCCGTGTGTCCGCCAGGGATGTTTTTTCCTCTCGGAGCCAAGGACTCGCTCGAAAGCTGCACACTGTGCCCCGCGGGTGCGCTCCTAAACACTGGATTGCACAGAGTAAACATACACTGTCTGCAGGCCAATTCAGCGCCGGCGAACAAATGCCCTGTGCAAATACCACGTGCGCTCCTGGTACAAACGCGCGTGGGGAGTGATGCCTGACGCAGGACATAGGCTCGGCATCGCCAATGGGGGCCGCCGACGTCCAAGCGCAGTGCGCGCCATGCCCGCTGGGAACGTTCAGCTCGGGAGCGTCGGACCAGTGCCACCCGACAGCTTGCGCCGAAGGTCACGAGCCCGTGCCAAGTACGTGATTGGTTCATCGAAGTACCCACATCGACGCATGCTAGCGATGGCCAATGCCACAAGCTGCAAGGCGTGTACCGCCGGCTACTACTCCAAAGGCGGCGCCCAAGTGTGCAAGCCCATGACGTGTGCACCGGGCGCCTCGTCCACAGCTCTGCACGCTAGCGATACCAATGCGACGTGCGTCAAGTGCCCTCCCGGGTACTTTGGTCTCGGTGGCGCCCATTCTGTACGCGCATATGCCTTGCAGCAGCGCTTTATGTCGACTTGGTAGTGTGAGCCGGCGCAATGTCCCCACGGAGCAGCGTCCGCCCGCGTCGGCGCGAGCGACCCTGCCTCGACGTGCCGCGCATGCCCTGCGGGCGCCTACGGGCGGGGCGGCGTCGACCAGTGCAAGCCCACTCAGTGCCCACCGGTGCAGATTGTGCGCTTGAGCGCAAGTGTACTCACTATGGCTCTGACGTTAGGGCACGGCCTCTCCCAGCAACGTGGACCACCCAGAGGACTTCTGCGTCACCTGTGCGCCGGGGTACACGCGTGTATAACTCGAGAAAGGCACTTATTGTGTGTGGTGTAGAACGTACAGCCCGGGCGGCACGCTTCGCTGCACCCCTACGCAATGTGCTCCGGGCTATGCTGCGCCCGCCGGTGCAACGGACCCGCTAGCCAACTGCAAAATTTGCGTCCAAGGCAACTTCACCATCGATCAGACGTGCACGGGCTTGGTGGTGTGCCCGGTGGGCTTTGGCGCGCCCGCCGGTGCATCAAGCGCCCAAGACCAGTGCGTGCTGTGTGACCCGGGGTACTTTAGCCTCGGCCAAGCCGCGCCATGCACCCCCGTCACCTGCGCGGCAGGGTACGCTCCAACGCTATACTGAACACGAACAACCATTTGTGTAGATCGGGCGCGCCACAAGGAACTGCTACCTGCCAGTCATGTGCACCGGGGTACTACAGCACCGGTGGCACAGGCGCCGACGCGGTGTGCAAGCCCATGACTTGTGCGTCGGGCTATGGCTCGTCGGCCGTTGGCGCCACGGACGCCGCAGCCACGTGCACACTGTGTCCCGCGGGGTATCAACCTCTCTCAACTGCAAACTCAACTCTCATCGTCATAGATCCTTCTCGGCGGGCCAATTCCATCAGTGTGTCGCCACAAAGTGCCCACCCGGAACGAGTTCCCCCGAGGTTGCCGCTCGCGGGTCGCTCAACCAGTGCCTCACGCGGCCGTGGTAGGGTGCCGATGTGCCCATCCAACAGTGCACTCTCTGTCCAAGCGGGTCCTTCTCCCGCGGCGGCAACGCTTCGTGCGAGATTGGGCAGTGCGATACTGGTACGACCCGTGAACTCAACTTGAGCTAACTCTGCATTGTTCCCGTAGGCTTTGCGATGCCCCCGGGCTCGGTCCGTGCCGACGACTGCCTCTTGTGCGGTGACGGGTTCTACTCGACAGGTACCTCTCCTCCACGCCTCCGAGACTCATGCCGTACATAGGTCGTGCAACGCAGTGCATCGCCTGCAAGTGCGGCGCCGACTCGACGTGTGTGAATGGTTTGTTCACCCATCGGCCGACCAGCCGCGCAACTTTGCTCTAGGCACGTCGACGTGCGTTGCTTGCCCTGCCGGCTACAAGAAACAGTCCACCACTGGTGTCTGCATCGCGACGACGGCGCCAACCTACGTACGGACAAAGTAGTGAGCCTATTGCTGAGGAATGCTCCTTAGGGTGCGGTCGTGACACTCCAAGTCGAAGGCTACGCGCCGTCGCTTTGGAGCGATGTGCTTGTGGATGCCCTCACTTCGTTACTGGCGTTGCATCTCGCCGGTACCCGATACCATGAACCAACTCACGGTTTCATTCCCATGAGGATAGATGCAAGCATCGTCGCCGAGCTCTACGCGCGGACGCCGACGACCGACACCACCAACCCCGTGGGCGCCAGCAGCGCGATTCTTCGTTTCGGCGTCGCGACGGCAGACGGGGCCGCCGCGCTCGTTGCGTTCTGGAAAGACACATCGCGTGTCCAGGCGTTTGCTACGTCGGCGTCGGCCGCCGGTGGCCTCGAGCGTCTTCGGTACGTGTGTACTCCAGCGCCCTTGATCTAAATATGATGGCGCCTAGATCGCTCACGGTCCAGGCGGTGGACGGTGCTGATGCTACACCGGCCGCGGCCGACGCACCGGTGGCCAAGTACGCGTTGGCCGTCGACAGCAGCAACGAGACAATGACGCCTGCGATGCACCACCGCTACAACCTTCATGTTGGCCTCGGTGTCGCCGCCATCAGCGCCTGTACGTTTGCATGATATGGTTGTGGGTCTCATGCTGGATGCCTAGTCATCGGTTTCGTGGGTCTGCGCCGAGTGCACCAATGGAACGCGGCTCTCAACGCCGACGCTTCGACAATCTCTGCGAACGCTATTGTGTTGTCGGCGTCCGTGTAACAATGCATATATATACCCCTTTTTCTGTGTGACCCGTCCCTTGGCGACTTGAGTTTCGACGCCGCGTGCGATAGTTGAACGACAGTTTTGTGCATTTTGAAACGCCCGCGCGTCGTGCCGTTGGAGATCACGTCTACAAGTAAAGTGATGGCAACGTCATCTCTACCCGTGTATTCGAGCTGGCGATGTGTGCGATGCTGTGGGAAGTGACCGCGTGCGGCAGCCGCGTACCATAGCATAGCCTCAGCAACGACAACCCTTCGGTTTGGCTGCATTTCCTCTGAGGTATACCGGTGTTTCTGCACCTGCTGACTGGTACATTGACTGGAGCGAGCGGACCTCCTTGACGCCAAGAGGCGCGTCGCGGGCGGTGAAATATTCGTATCTTTGCCC